AGGAATATAAGATAATAAAAAAAACACATGTAACCATCCGCCTTAGTTGAGACTGTGAGTTAATCACCTTTGACAAAGTAATATAACTCGCTAGACCTAATTTGGGCAACACAAAGCCAGTGACGATTACCGTAAACCTCTCATCCATCAAACCTAAGAGTCTTACAATCACCCTTGAATTTTAGTAAAGCGAATTGTGTGTAACTCCAAAAAATGAATTATTTGTGCACAAAAAAATCGTGATCACATATACTTTTACTAAATCCAAATGTACTTGTTTGTGCCCAGACAATTAAACTTCGTCGAGTAAGCTATTGTGTAACCGGGTGTGTACACTAAGCAAATTAGAACTCTTACAAAAAAATACTAAGAAAAAATAGTGGGAAAGACACATCATTCAGACAATAGGTAATTCGACAAAACAACTCCTGACAACCGTCGTCCCTCGAACCAGACTCAGAGTTTATCGCCTCAGCAATATAACTCGTTGATCCATTAATGAGCACAAATGAGCCAAAGACGGTTAGCGCAATCATTCCATCACCCACATCCAAAACCACATTCTTACAATCGAAAGAGATAAAACAACAAACAAACACAGACAAATTCAGACCATTAACATAAATAAAAGAAAAAAATAAATTTCTTCACTCAGTCTTCCAAGAACCACCGGCGGGCGGTTCAGGAGGGGTCGGATCGCCTTCACTTTATCTTCTTCCTTCATCACCTTGATCGGCCCTTGAGTCGCCTCCAGCCGAATCTCCCTATCTACGAACGAATTGCCGGAAGATGGCACCGCTCCTTGCCAAAAGACGGTAGCGGACAAATAAAACTCTAGCGGTGAAACCCTAGAGACAGGACGCAAATCCAGAACGATACAATCCTCCTCCTCTTTGACTGATGAAATACCGATCGCCGCAGTCTTCATCTCCATGGCGGAGTTGTCCGCCTAAACCCTAACCGGCTGAAGTTCTACGTCGAAGAGAAGTCGTCCATAGTGGAAAAAAGGTTAAATAAATCTTTTTATTGTTTCAAATTCATTAATTAAGACCTTCTAATAAAAAATATCATAAAAGTACGTTTACTATAAAAATTTGATCAATCTAGCCATATTAATCATTTTTGACATATAATAGCAATTTTTATATATATAAAAATTCTAAAAATTCTTAAAATTTGAAGAAATATAGATAAAATTGTGAAAATTTTCAGAATGTTAAAGTTGATATTCTTTCATTTTTAGTTTTTTAATATGTTCACTACATCTATTAAAAAGTTTTTCCTTTTATGTTTTATATCTTTTTACATTTTCACTTTATTTTTTTCAGTTTTCTAGTTTTGTTTTTAACGTTTAAATTATTTATCGATTTTCACATTTATAATATTTTTACATTATTATTACATTATTTTTCAAATTTATATGAATTTTATAAGATTTATCAATAATGCTAATTTATTTTTTCAAACATAGCCTGCTATAACAGGCCAAAATGGTTGGATCGTTTGTATTTTAAAAGTAAGCGTATCTATATGATGTTTTTTAGTATGAGGACTAAAGTGATGGATTGAAGATAGTAGATGACTTTATTTGACCATTTTTCCAAAATACTCCGTAAGAGTCATAATCCCCCCTTTCTTGACTCCTTTTTCAAAGCATAGTAAAATTTGACTTTTAACTTTTACAAAACCATTCACAACAAACATTTAATTTTTATATCAATAAATAATACTTCATCCGTTCTCTTTTAATTGCAACATCGAACTTTTTGCATTATTCATATATTCTATTTTGACTATATTTTATTTTTAATGTATTATAAATTAAATTTTTAAAAAATATTGTTAAATTCTTCTTATTCTAAATTTTCAAAATATGAATTTTGTCAATTTTTTACTAATAAGGAATGAAAGATATTAATGGTCAAACTTGTGTGTTGGCAAACGTGAAATGTTGACTGTTGCAATTAAAAGGGAACAGATGAAGTATTACATTTATATTTTACATCTGGACCAAATATAAACTATTTATATTAAAAATTTATTAAGCATTGTTTATACATATTTACATCTTTTACAACGATATTTGTTATTATTTACATAGAAACATGGAAGGAATTATACAAAAGTGCAATATGAATTGCATCGTGCACTTTTATACGTATTATTTGAAGTTAGACAATTTCTCTCCCACTAACATTTGAACAAGAGAGGGTGACACTGATATTGAGAGAAATGGATTTATGTGATTAGCATCGAATTGATAAAGTAAAAATAAAGTAAGAATAATTTAAAATCACACAAATTTTATTAAAGTTAGTATGAGATAATCATTTTTAAGACAGGTCGAAAAGAAATGATGAGACAATCTTAGTGAAACGGAAAGAATATATAACAAGTGAATAAATATGGTTTACATTTTGTACCCATTTGGTACACAGGCCACCAAACCTGGAATAAATATTTTATTATTTACATTTTTGTACCCATTTTTTATATTAATCCATGTACACAAAAATTTATCTAAAAATTGTTTGCATACACGCAATTTGTTCGATCATTTTTGGATAAATTGTTTGTGTACACCACCATGAATGTGCACAAACTAGTCCCGGGATCGGTTCAGTTTTTGTTAAATTCGGTTCGGTTCTAGTAAAAAATGTAGTTGATAAATTTGGTTCGGTTCTAGTTAAGTTCGATTTGGTTTTTACCTTTTTCGATTCCTTGAAAAAGTTATTTTTCCTCCTAAAATGAACACATGTTACCTTTAGTCACATAAAAAAAATCAAATTTTAAATCATAAAAATAATTGTCGAAATTATGACCATTACATTATACATAGGAGTACATGATGATATCCCAATGTTCAAATATCACAAAAATATTTAAGTGTAAACATTAAATTTAGAGCTGTCAAATGGGTCAACCCGACCCGACCCAACCCGTAATGAGTTATGCTTTATGTGGGTTGGGTTGGGCCAACCCGTTTAATGACGGGCCAGGATTTATACAACCCTAACCCAACCCACCTAACCTGTGGGTTAAACGGGTTGGCCCGCGGGCCAATGTAAAAAAATATAAAACGATTTTAAAAAAATAATAATAATTACCCGAAAGTATATATTTATATTAGCAAGTAGTAACAAAGGAGCTATAAGAAATCAGAATACTAAAAATTCAATACTTGTTAAGTTTAATTAAAAATATTGAATACTTCCTCCTTTCTATTTTAATTGCAACAGTCAACATTTCACGTATGCCAAAGCACAAGTTTGACCATTAATGACTTTCATTCCTTATTAGTAAAAAAATTAAAAAACGCCATATTTTGAAATTTTAGAATGAGAAGAATTTAACAATATTTTTTAAAATTTTAATTTATAATACATTAATAAATAAAATATAGTCAAAGTAGAATATGTGAATATTGCAAAAAGTCCAATGTTGCAATTAAAAGAGAACGGAGGTAGTACTAGTTATACGAGAATTTGAAAACTATAAGAGGCTATGCGACAAAAATACTCATTATATAAAAATAAAGATTTACATAAAAAAATTATTAATTATTTGCAAATAATGACTACTACGTAGTAATTTTTAAATATTGTATTGAACTTCACAAAAAATATATGTTTCAACATTTTATTTGAATATTTATTATAGAAATAAAAGAATAATACTTTTTTTATTGTAATTAAAATAATGTTGGTAGCAAAAGAACAATATTTTAGATAATAAAACTCAAAACTATATTTTTGTATTTTGGCCCGCGGGCCAACCCGTAACCCGGTAGGCCAACCCACTTAAACCCGCAACCGGCGTGGGTTGACCCGCAAAACCCGCAGACTAAATGGGTCAGGAATTCTCAACCCTAATCTACCAATAAATGGGTTTAAACGGGTCAGCCCGTGGGTTTCAGCCCACTTTGACGGCTCTAATTAAATTTAAACATTACAAAAACATAAAGGTTTAAAATAGGCATCAACTGCCAAGCAAAAAGGTTTAATAGCTTCAAGGTACATATCCAATAGCAGGTAGTTGAACTCCTAAATTATATTCTTATACTATTAATGCATCATTATCATCATAAGTAACAAGTATGTGATAATAAATTGACCGGTAATATTAGTAATTTATAATGAACAAATAACAACGTAATAAGAAGCATATTAATTCCCTTTTTAGGTGAGCTCAAATAACAAAAACAATTGCAAACAAAGAATAAATATAAAAGTGGGCTAAACTAATAAAATAACAACTACTCGGATTGCCAAACACCTTGTGGTTTGATGACATCACTGTGACTCTCCCAAGGAGGAGGTCACAGACTCACAGGTTCGAAACTCATCCCAGTCAAGGATGTTGACATTTAACAATAAAGTGTTGAACAAATATTATAAGAGAGACTAAAAAAGTCTAGCAAAAAAACAAGTACTCGGATTGGTCTGGTCCACAATATATAAGGTATATTATGCAAGAAAAATATATTTGACAAAAAATTCCTGACTGCAACGCGGTCTGGCTACCTACATTAGAGTTATTTCCGAGTAGAATTTTTTGATGAAATTTTGTGATTATATTTTACATGAAATGTATATTATTATATCTACCAAATGTCAGTTTAAAATTTAATTGGGCAGCAAGTTAAATAAAATATTGAAAACCATTGTGTTATATATATATTAATATACATATATTGGCATAATGCTTTTCAATAATTTATTAACTGACTTATAGTGTAAATTTTAACCTGAAATTTGGTGATAATCTATATATCATAAATAACAAGTTCACAAAATTTCATCAAAAAATTGTACCAAAAAATACCCCAAATAAAGATTACTCATTCAATGTATAAAAAGTTCAATTCCTGTCTAAGAACTAAAATCGAACACATCAAATACTATAGGAACCGAACAAAACAAAGAACTCCAAAAAATAGGAACCCGGCCGAAAATTCGATTAAGTTCGGATCAATTTTTCAGGTTTTACAGTTTAAGTGCCGGGCCAAAACTGTACAGAGTCACAAAGCGTACTCGAAACCGGTCTCAATTTGGAATCCGTCGTCAAATCTTTCACCTCTTCTAAATCAGGAAATGGAGTCCCAAGTTTTTGGCGACCTCAAATTCAAACCACTTCACCTAAAAGTCAAACACACCGCTCGCCGTTTCAATTTCCCACCGGGAAATAGTTCCCGGCGAAGAGATACATGCCACCTCAGCTTCTCCGTTCGATGTGGGCCGAGTCCGACCGAGAATGTTGAAAAAGCCAGCACGACGAAGAGGCGAGATGTGCTCGTCACATCTTTGCTCTTCCTTGGCGCCAGTGTGATCCGGACGGCAGTGTCGAGAGCCGACGAAAATCCGCCGGAGAGCAACCTGGCTGGGACGGAGGCTCCAAGTCCGATGCCAGCTCAAGTAGATAAGGCGACAGAGGAGAAGAAGACAGAGGAGGTGGTGAATTCGAGGATTTACGACGCGACCGCAATCGGAGAACCGCTGGCGGTGGGGAAGGACAAGAGTAGAGTGTGGGAAAAGCTTATGAGTAGTCGGATTGTGTATTTAGGAGAAGCGGAACAAGTTCCTACTCGGGACGACAAGGAATTGGAGCTAGAGATTTTGAAGAGTTTAAGGAAGAGATGCGAAGAGGCACAAAGACCTATTTCCCTGGCTTTGGAAGCCTTTCCTTCGGATTTACAGCCACAACTCAATGATTACATGGCCAAAAGGTACCATTTTTCTTTCTCACAGTTTATTGAGGTTTTATTAATGGTACGCCTCACAACTTTTTTCTTTTATACTTAAACTAGTACTTTGGATACGACTAATAGTCAGTTTGGAGAGAATGAGCATTAGACATTAGTAAACTTAGATTTAGTAAAAGCTGGATGAACTCTAAGACATTAGATTTAGTAAGTGGATGTAGTCTAACCTAAAAGGGCAGCCCGGCAATGTGCAGGTGCTGGGAAGGGTCCTTAAGACTTGAACCCGTGAATTCTAAGTGTATAAGGAGCAAGCCTTCCCCTGTCAAATTTTGACATGAGGGCGCTCTCAAGACTTGAACCCGTGACCTCTAGGTCCCACAACAACACCTTAAGAGGTGTGCCAAGGAGCCAAGGCACTCCTTCTTCTTTAACCTAGATTATTATAAAAAAGTTTGGATAATTATTAGGTTCACCTAGATGAAAGCAGTAAAGTGTTGTTTGGTAAAAGTTAATGGAAGTGAACATACTAAACTTACTTATAGGAAGAACCTGATCTCCTAAAACCTCCAATGCAAAGCTTATTTGTAACTGGATTGTGGGTGGTTCTCCAAGGTGAACCCAAGTTATCCAAAATTTAGGTTCTTGCCATACGATTATACAAACAAGGTGAACCAAGAACTAAACTTGGTAGAAGCTTGGTTCAACACTAAACCAACGGACTATAACAGTTGATAAAAATACATGAATTTCAAGATTAGGGTGTTGCAACCTTTAAGAATGAAACATCAACTCTTAAATCTGAGTACATCTATTCGCATCACTTGATTTCTAGTATTTAGCATTTGTCAGTATTAAAATTTGTGTGTCATGGCAGTATTGATGAAGAAACCTTAAAGGCTTTTGTATCACATTGGCCACCTGAACGTTGGCAGGAGTATGAACCCATTCTATCTTACTGCAACATCAATGGTGTACGACTAATTGCCTGTGGTTTACCCCTTGAGGTACTAAGATTACTATCCAAAAAATGCGGTTGGAGTGCATGAACAATCCAAAAAAAAAAAACAGTTCCTGAAGTCGTATTTGTTGACTGAATAATTATATTCTAGTTTCTGTCAGCTTTTATTTAGCAATGCATATTTAGTTTTAGTTTTTTGATGAATTCTTTGACTAGGTTCAACGAAGAGTGCAAGCAGAAGGGATTCACGGACTTTCAAAGTCCGATTCTAAGAAGTATTCTCCTCCCGCTGGTTCGGGCTTCATCTCAGGCTTTACTCCCAGATCTTACAGGTCTTCTATCGATATGAACTCACCACCTAACTACTCAACTCGGTTTGGATCACAATCGTATCTTTCTGCACAAGCAAGAGTTGTAGAGGAATACTCAATGTCACAGATCATATTGCAAGCCATAGAAGATGATGGACCTTCAGGCTTGCTTTTGGTTGTCACTGGCGGGACCCATGTTGCATATGGATATAAGGGAACAGGGCTTCCCGCCAGGGTTTTTAGGACGTTGCAACAGAAGAATCAAAGCGTGATATTACTTGATCCAGAAAGACAAGAAATAAGGAGGGAGGGAGAAGTTCCCGTTGCGGATTTTTTATGGTACTCTGCAGCACAACCTTGTAGTAGGAACTGTTTTGATCGTGCTGAAATTGCCCGTGTGATGAATGCAGCTGGAAAAAGGAGAGATGCCTTACCCAAGGTTGGTATGATTTATGGCTCGTTTGGTAGGGATCAAAATGGCTGAATGTATTATTAATTGCTGAAACAGTTGATTCTGGAGAATTATATAAATAGTCTGTTGAAAAAAATATACTGCGTACTATATAAATATATTTTCAAGAAAACTATTCCCCCCATTTTCAGCTTATTAAGCTAGTGCAATAAGTTGGTGTTTAAAAAAAACTAGCTGATGAGCCGAAAGTGAAGCCTTGGTATGGGCTTTTAATTTCCAAACTTTCTTAAACTGTCATTCAGTCCATCTACATATTCAAACTGTTGTTAGGTACTCCTTTCATCCCTATATTGATAGCACTTCTTTTAAGGGATTTAAGAAAATGATAACCTGTGGTTGAGATTTGCGTAAGCGAAAAATAATATGAATCAGATGTCTCTTTCCTTGAAAGAAAGTGATACTTTAGAATGGACGATAAAGGAAAGTTAGAAGATTATGTAGGGATTGAAGGAGCTTATACTAATGACACCTGAGTACATGTCAATTAAAATGGGCACAGGTCAGTTATGGAAGTATTACGTTGTATATCTTTAGTTGAGCTAGAGGTTGAGATAAGACCGTCAATGCATGAGTTGTACAGTGAGACTAAGTTCTTTATTGAAATTTAGAAGCAATCATGTAACACCAATTACTTGTCTTAGCAGTCTTATAATCCAGATCAGCTAGATTTTCTATGATATTTATCAAACACTAGCTTATTTAACTTATTTGATGGCATTGGCTAAATCTGTTGGGTAATAAGATTGGGTATACATTGTGTTTTTGTGCTGCAATCGTGATTTTAATATCATCTTGTTTATATTATTTACTCTAAGTTATTAAAAAGATTCATTTTCAGATAATTTAGTCCATTCTAATTTTATCACAACCTATCTCTATGACCATATACATTACACATTCACATGTCGATTATGGAAGTAAACCTAGTCCTTTAGCAACCCATTTGCTTGAATTGCATCAAAAGTCATGCATGTCATTGATACTTTTACTTAAAGGGAGCTTTACTCTACCCTATAAATGAACCAATGCCATTTTTGTATTGACCAGGACCTCCAACAAGGACTAGATCTTGGACTAGTATCACCTGAAGTGCTGCAAAACTTTTTTGATCTGGAGAAATATCCTTATATTTCTGAATTAACTCATGGTTTTCAGGTATATTCTCCCTATTTCATCATAAATATATTCCTCAATAGTTCAATCACTAAAAACCTCTTGCACTCTTAGATACTCTCTTTGCTCATACTACTGAAGGTTTCAAAGTAAAGTTGAGACTCATACTCCAACTCCAGATCTTGTACTACGTATGTTATTGGGCTAAATTTGAGAACGGTATTACAGTTAGATTGTTATCAGCTGGCTCGGCTAGTGTGTGTTAAGTCATTCCCATTGGCTAAAATATAAAGAAACAAACTCATATATAAGACTTTGGGCTATTTTCTAGGTTTACTTTGTAGGACGAAATCTCAAATATAAACATTGATCCAGGTTAGTTTCAACCATGAGCATCATCTTTTTGATCTTTTTCAACTGAGTCACTATCTTTGAGAGTATCATTAGTTGTTCTACTCCGACCAAAACATGAAGATACGAACTCGCATATAACGCATTGTCAATTGACCTTTAATGGTAGAACCCCGAGTTTTAATTGGCTGGTAGGATTTTGTAGCAGTGTGAAGGGACCTGATAAAATATCCAACATTGAGAACATACCCATATTTTACGTGTCACTTTATTTATTAAAATCATTCTCCTGCTCTTACAAGACTTCTTTAAATTTTAAATATGATCAGTCGTCTTGTTTTGATGCAGGGTTTTAGGGAGAGATTGTTAGCAGATCCTAAGTTTCTACACCGGTTAGCTATCGAAGAAGCTATATCTATAACAACCACACTCTTAGCTCAATACCAGAAACGCAAGGAAAAATTCATGGAGGAGCTTGACTATGTTATAACAGATACTGTTAGGGGAACCGTTGTGGATTTCTTCACAGTGTGGCTCCCTGCCCCCACGATTTCTTTTCTACCAGCAGCGAATGACGTTAATCTGCCTGAAAGCTTTGAAGCATTGAAGGGTCTATTGGGGAGCATCCCGGACAATGCATTTCAGAAGAGTTTTGCAGGGAAGGATTGGGCATTGAGCCATAGAGTTGCATCCGTCATTGTTGGCGGTCTGAAATTGGCAAGTGTAGGATTTATTTCGAGTATTGGGGCAGTGACATCTTCTAATGTCTTATTTGGAATACGTAGAGCAATAAATCCAACTCTTGCTAAGAGTCCACAGAATAAACGTTCTCCGGTGCTGAAAACAGCTCTTGTGTATGGGGGCTTTCTTGGAATATCAGCAAATTTGCGTTATCAGGTAATAAGAATCTGATGTAAGCATAGAAGAAAAGTAAAAGCCAAAAAGAATGAATAAATAGGGTTTCAGCTTAGAGGATAGAACCAATTGCGAAGATGAATCAAAATAGGAAGTGTGTTAGGCGTGAAAGTGGAAAAAGAGAAGCTTTTATTATTGTCATACAGTTTTTTATCTAGACCAAGTATAGTAGGTAATTCTCGGAGAGTCACAGGATGACAGGATTCCTTTATGGAGTCAAATGTGCTCATGTTGCACCACCATAACCATCCGTTTTATAGTGGGGATGACCCCACTATAAACATTGGTGGTAATGAAGGTACCACATGAGGAGATTACTCTGTAAGGAGTCATATATGACTAAAGTAACTCTCAAGTATAGTACTCTGAATGAGATAGACAGGCATTTTAGGCTTAGTGTTCCGTTTGAGAATCATAATTTTTTTGTTGTGTCCATTGTTCCTCCATTGTGTTATTTTGCAGATAATTGCAGGAATAGTAGAGCACCGGATTTCGGACCAGTTCTCTGACCAGACATTATTTGTAAATATGCTGTCTTTTGTTGTTCGTACAATCAACTCATATTGGGGTACCCAGGTCAGATATAGCCGACTTTGGTTATCAATATGCCTCTCTTATAGCTTCTTAAGCATACCATATATATTGCATAAATTGCAAGATTAACCACAAGTGCATTCATAAATTACTTTTAAAAGCAACCAAGTTGTTTAATATATAAAAAAGTTCAGAATATGTACATTAACCAATTCATAAATCGCTCAAGGTGAAAAACATTGCAATGTGCCAAAGATAATTAAATCATAAAACAAAAACGCATTCAAACATCAATATCATTCATATCACCATATTAATATAACATTACGACATCATGCAAGGCCATGATCCCTCACATCAATAATCTTTGTTCTATAGAGATTTATTATCAAATTAGGGGTCTGTTTGCAACAGCTTCTGCTTTTAAAAAAATGTTTTTTTTAATGAAATGGGGAGAAGTGATTAAATAAAAGTTGATAGTGTTTGAGAAAAAAGTGATTTTGAAAAGTAAAAGTGGGTAGTGTTTGGTAAAATAAGTGCTTTTTGTGTAATAGAAAAAGTAAAAGCACTTTTGATGCGGAAGCCGAGAAAAATAAAAGTTGTAGTGTTTGGGAAAATAAGTGCTTTTTTAAAGCCAAAAGCTGAGAAGTGCTTTTTTAAAAGTAGTTGCAAACCAACCCTAGATCTTACAAGAGATCTTGCAATTGTATTTTGTCCACCACTAGACCTTCTGTAATCTCATGATTTAGATATTGATCTCCAATACTAATTGAATTATTCCTATCTCACTCCAAAAAGAGACGAGTCACCTCTCTAGACACTTGAAGAGGTGGATAATAAGTCCAAAGTGACCTCCAAGTGGTTGCCTGCCAAACGAATCAGCAGGTGCCCCACAAACAACCATTTGACTGTTTGATAAAATACAATTAAATATTATAATCCCTCTCTCTTTGAACAGGTGACCTGTGTTCCTTATTGATTTTTTTTTTAATTGACTCAACTCAATAACATTTTTGGCAACTTCTACTTTTTCTCCTTCCTACTTTTCTGCTATTTATCCTTTCCTTATTTTTTCTACTATGTTTCCTTCTTTTCCATACATATTCTCCACATAGGATATCATGATGATGGTAGCTAGGGTTTTGGAAGCATAGATTTTCTCTCTCTCTTATACCATGTGAGATATAATAATTGGTTTATTGTCTTCATGATCTCTGTATATTTGGTGAAGCTATATGCCTATACATATACTCCGTAGTAAATTACTCAGGCTGTACCTGGTTCTAGGCATATAAAAAAGTAAAGATGCATGTGTAAAATGGTGTACTTATTTTTATTTATGAAGAGAATGAGGCTAATTATTATTAATGAAATCATGAGACAAAATATTCAAAATACATGAAGGGGGAAAAGATAGCCAAAACATAGGCTCAGACAAAGAAATGTCCACTCTAAAAAAGAAAGCAGTGATATGGAATCCTCAATGACTAAACCAAACAAATGAAACAATGGTGATCCAGCACCATCTCGAATGCCATCAACCACTTGCAACGAATCATATTTGATATCAAAATTGTCTAAGCCTTTCTCAGTAGCCTTCCCGAAAAGCCCAAAGCTTCAGCTTCTCTAGGAAGAAAAATTTCCACCCAAGGTTTGGTGCCGCTGGCCACAAAATCGCTGCTATCATTTCTGATCACTCAACCCAATCCTAGGCAAAGGCATGCAAATGGACAGCTGCATCGACATTAATTTTGAGACGTCCTCTTACTGGGCGCTGCCATAACTCCTCTTTTACCCCTCTCTGTTGCAGCAGATGGCTTCCAGATCTCCCTTGGGCTTGTCCCCAATCCTTGATTTACATTGCATTTGCAATGTTTATTGTTGACAAATCTCATATACAAGTCTTTGTTGTTGAAAAAGATACAAGTGTGAACTTGTTATATAAAACAATAGTGTTGTTCGCTTTTTAAACTAATTTTAAACTCCCAAAATCTAATTGCTAGATGGGCAGCTGGCCTTTACTCACTAATAGGCCTTTTCCCACTTATGCCTCATTGAGTGCCCTTCATTTTAATACTCGCGACATTAGAAATGAACCCTTTTCCAATACTTGCTAGGCACTAAACTGAAGTCCACTTGTAGACAACCAATGCTGACTATTCAACAAGAACCTTGTGAGCATTTGTATATAAGCTCGGTTAAATCTGTTTGCATTTTTATCGTATGTCTAATTGTCCAGCTTCATTAATTAGACCTTCCTTCAATAGTAAACTCAAAATAAATCCGATATCTACACATTTCTGATCTTGGGTTTGTCTTCAAATTAATACAAGTGCATTCCTCTTGTCATCCACAGCAATGGATAGACCTTGCACGGTTTACAGGGCTGCAAGCACGAAAGGTTGAAGGTGACTCCCCAAATAATGCCGCAGTAGAATGTCAAACTACAGATGAAACTTACAACTCTGATGATTCATAATATCACACCAACAATCAGTACTTCAGTTTATTTTCCCACGTTTCATTGCATACCGACGGTTTTGCCACACAGATGGTACATGCGCATATTTTTTGTACCTACTAATTGTAAATTAATTGTAATATCTGTAAGTTAGTAAATTGTATGTAGAAAACTGTTTCTTGAGTTGTATAGAAGGAATTTGATGTTTTGGTTATCACTCACCAGGTCACAATAGAATAATTTTGTTATTAAATTTTGTACAAAGCAAAAGTCAAGATATACTACGTATTTTGCACATTTTAATACGGATTACATTTAAGATCTTCTTCATAGCAACGTTGTTATGAATTAAGAACTTAAATTATTAAATAAATGTCGTTTTAAAGAGAAAAACATTGCTTCAAAAGTTCAAAATATGATGAATACGGTAGCACTTATTTTAGAAAAACAATGAAGTATTGATTTGCATAATTGCATGTTTAAGTTTATACATATTGTCGTTCCAAAATAATACTCCCTCCGTTCCCAAAAATACTTCCCACTTTCCTTTTTGGGTCGTTCCCAAAAATTCTTCCCACTTTCCCTTTTTGGACAATTTGTGTGGTTCACATTCAATTTACCTTTTTCTCACACAACCACAATCACACATTTCCACTTTATTCCACTTTCTTAATAGGCGTGCCAATTCAAACCGGAAAGAATTTTTAGGAACGGAGGGAGTAATAAAAAAAGTTTATACATATTGTTAAAAAGCATAATTCTATGAGCAAGCCCAATTCTTCTCCGTTTAGCTTAGTCATGGACCCGGTTCGGGCCGCCTGGGGCCGGCCCAGCCCGCTACTGTGCGGGTCCAGAACCGGCCCGGTTCTCGGGTCCGGGTCCGGGTCCGGGTCGGGCCTAGGCCCGGTGGGCGGGCGGGTCCGGGCTCGGGCTTTGTATTTGGCGAACTGGCCCGGGTCCGGGCCGAATTGATTTTTTTTATTTTTTATTTTATTTTTTGGGGTTACCCAGGTTGGGCTTGATGGTTAGGAGGGGTTTGGGGGGTGAGGGGGGGGTTAGGAAACCCAAAAAACAAAAAAATGACCAAACCGGAGGCCCGGCCCGGACCCGGCTACCCGGGCCGGTCCCAGGCCTTCCTTCCCCAAAAAAAGTCGGCCGGGCCTGGCCCGGGTCCATGACTAGTTTAGCTCCTCTTCCACAGTTCCACTTCGGTTTGACTACGTAGGATTGTAGGAATCCCATAGTTTACAATGCAATATAGCTCGGGAAGAAATGAATACTCCGTATAAGATAAAAAAAAACTACCCAAATAGTAGTAAAAGTTGGCATATATTTAAAAGTATGATGACTTGTTTTGGTAAATATGACAATTGCTTAACAGAATACGACAAATATCACATTGAATGATAGAATACTCTCATAGTCTGATATGAGAGGAAGTACATCAAACAAAGAAGGAAAATTTGTTGATTCAGTCCAATAACTTATAGCTATATTCGATATTGGTCCTGTAACTTTATTAACTTACAATTTACATCCTGAACTAATATGTTGGTGCAATTTTGGTCCTTCTCTGTCGGAACTTATCAATTTCGTCGGAAAAAGACACATCACCTGCCACATGAGTATATTATTTGGAACTCATTTGCTGACTCAATATTGGCCCTTAGCTAGAGTTAAAAAACCAGAGTACGAAAGCTCTTCGCTAAGTGCGTGCACAACCATACCAAGCATATTATCGGGTCTGCAAAAGGGGGAAGAACATATAACTCTACCTGAAGATTTCTCCTGAACTAAGTCGAGAGAGTGAGTTATTCTTCAAATCTGCTAGTAACGGCTCTCGATCAGACAAAAGTTTATGGAGTGTGATTGTGGTAAAAAGGTTTCTCTTCTAACTTCTTGGACTATAACGATCCTGGAAGGAGGTTTCGTGTGTGCGCTAGAAGCAGAGTAAGAAGTTCAGCTTTTTAATTTACATTGTTTGCTTCTTTTTTTACTAAATAAACTAGAAATTTAAGAATAGCATTTGAATAATAAATTTGTTTGAAAATTAAAATGTATTTTATAATTTAAGCTAGGTTCTGCTAATAAAATTACCATCTTCTATTTGTTGGGGGCATTTGATAATGTATTTTTGTGTTCAAAGCAGTAAAAAGTAAGTTAAGCTTCATCTGGTTTTGATACAGACAAAAGGTTGCAGATTTTTTGAATGGGCGGACCCACCTATGTGCCATCGTTGAACGATGATAATTCCGGGATTGGTTAGAAGACTCAATTCAAAAGAGGAAGAGGTTGTAAAGTTGAAGGCTAAAAATAAAAGGCTTCTCATAGTTGTTGTGGGGCTAGTGTTTTTGCTCCTGGTCTTTCTCATGTTAAAGATGTGAGAAGTGAAGATGATGTAACATTTCAAATGCTTTATTCTTAAAACATGAATCCAAAAAGCTTTAAACTTCATTCAAAATGCTCCTGTTGGTTGCAGCAGGAGCATTGAGTCAGCAAATGAGTTCCAAATAATATACCATGTGGCAGGTGATGTGTCTTTTCCGGCGAAATTGGTAAGTTCCGGCAGAGAAGGACCAAAATTGCACCAACTTATTAGTTACGGGGTGTAATCTGCAAGTTAATAAAGTTACAAGACCAATATCGGGAATAACTATAAGTTACGGGACTAAATCAACAAATTTCTCAACAAAAATACAGAATATTCATTATACCCAGTAATTGTTTTTGAGTAATAGTCGAATACGAAGTAGTAAAGTAGTAAGTATAATTCAATGTTATACTCCGTATATTAGCTAATTAGAGTACAGAAGTACAAAACTACAAACGTGCAACATATCTTAAAAGAAAACAGCGGATAAACTAAAACTGAGCTACCAAACAAGACTTTACGACCGACTTATGGATAAGAACAATGACGTGTAGCGTACTGGATGGAGTTAGTAAAAGTGGGTACAAATGATTGAAATCATTAAAGATGTAGTCACGTGAAAATATTTGGGGGCCGTTTATTTATGGAAAAATTGAAATTAATAATCCCAACTATTGACGGTCCGTTGATAATAATTTCAACTATTGATTATTTTTGTATAATCCCAACTATATGGACAGTCCGCCAATAATGGTCTATGACCAAATATTACACCCTCAAAAAGTGAATTTTAAATAGAAATCAAGTTTAAAAATTAAAAGTTGGGATTACTTATAGGAATTACTTGTTATATCTCTCCTCATCCACTTTAGAAACTACAAGAATTTATTTAAAGGGACCATTATTGGCGGAAGGTCCCTAAAGTTAGGATTATTCTGAAATAATCGATAGTTGAGATTATTATAAGCGGACCGACCATAGTTGGGATTATTACTATCAATATTTCCTTTATTTATTTATTTATTTATTTATTTATTTATTTATTTACTCCCTCCGTCCATTATTAAACTTCCAAATAAGTTTGTCACACAGTTTAAGATAGTGGGTATTGTGTGGTGAAGAGTTATGCAGAGGAGAGAGAAATGTGCAAGAATTGTTGTGAACCACACATTCTGGGCAAAAAGGGAAAGTGGAAATTTTAATTGGGACGGACGAAAAAGGAAAGTTGGAAGTTTATTTAGGGACGGATGGAATATTTATTTATTTATTTATTTATTTATTTATTTATTTATTTATTTATTTATTTATTTATTTATTTATTTATTTATTTATTTATTTATTTATTTATTTATTTATTTATTTATTTATTTATTTATTTATTTATTTACGCATTTATTTTTGGCTGGAAAAAGATCATATATTACTGCAATAAATCACTCTCCGAATGGAGTACAATGCAATTAGGAGGAAAAGTAAAAAACAAGAAACTATCCGTTATAAAAAGTGCAGCCTTTGTTAGAACATGAGTCACACAATTCGCAAATCTTCTACGATGGATGATTTCAACTCCTTGTTGAAGAATGTGTCTTATATCATCAATAATTGTGTCAAAGTAAGATTTTCCCTCTCTATTCGTAATTCTCGAGGCAACCATCAATGAATCCGTCTCGACTTGCACTTGTGATCATGGTTGTGTTTTTGCCCAATTTAACACCTCTCTAACATCGATAGCCTCCGCCACCTCTGCCTTCTAGTCTGCACGAATTTTCTGACAACCTGTTGAGATAAACTGTGCCCTATGTCGTCCCTGGTTACCCATGCCCATGATCGAGTACCATTTTTCATGTCAAGAGCCGCATCAACATTAATTTTTACATGTCCTTCCCTAGGCCGTTGCCACTTGGTGTCTTTTACATCCCTCTCACTTGCTCCTTTGGAGATTCTGACCCTCTTCAATTCTTAAGCATGGCTGCTCCAATTTCCACAATCTGGCGTCATCGAACTTCCTTATTCTTCCATACCTTCTCATTCATGGCTTTCCAGATGCTCCATAAATAACAGATAAAATGATAACGTTCCTCGTGCTACAACTTTTCGAAAAAGCTTTTAACTCATTCCCTGAACGTAGGGCCTTGTCTCATGTATTTTGCCCCCCGTGTGCATCCAAACATTATTAGCCGCAGGACATTTATGAAATAAATGGTCCACGAACTCCTCTTCAGCATCACAGAACCTGCATAGCATAAGGATATCTACTCTCTGGCGGCGCAAGTTACTAGCCGTGGGCAAAACCCCCACCATGACTTGCCAAAAAAAACATTTTATTTTTTTGGGGATTTGAAAATCCCATATTTTAGTCCATCGCAACAATTCATTAATATTGCATTCACCACGAAGAACTCTATAACCACTTTTAATTTTGTAAGTACCTTTGGAGTCTTCAGCCCACCACCAGTCATCCAAAGGCCTTCTCTTGCTAACAGCGACAGAGAAAACATGTTTATTAAATTTTGGGGCCGTTTATTAAAAGTTGAAAAGAGATATTTTGTAGTTTTAAAAAAAGTTTATCAAAAAACAATTACTGGAAAATGGGAGAAAAGAGAACAAGAAAATGTGTTCATCAAATTATTTCCTAAATTAAAAAAAAGAGAGAGACATGTCTTTGTTTTCTTTAAGTAATTGGAGAAGTGGGTTTTACTAGTTTTCCGAATTTGAAATATGCGCACACTGCAATGTTACTGCAATGAATCTGCCTACTGACGTCTAGGGGTGGACCGATCATGGCCCGGTCTCGCTCCAATCTCGATTTCGGTCCGGTCAACAACTTGGCGGTCCTTGTCCGATCGACGATCTGAAGGTCCTGGTTTGGTCGACGATCCGAAGGTCTCTGTTCTGTCAGGTCAACAAATTGACGGTCCATATCTCAGTCACC